GTCCTCTCCTATATCAATGCAGCGACGAATTCTATTAAGAGAATTCATAATTGTTACGTTTATGCATAATATTTCTAATAATCTTTGTCAATTAAAATTGTAAATGTAAATCATATTTTCGGTCACGGAAAAACAGTAACGATCATATCTTTTAAAAAATGATTATAAAATTTGACTAATGTTTTATACTAAAACACGACATTACATCAGAAAATGTTTGTAACGTATTAAGAAAACGTATGAAAGACGCAACTTTAATTATACGTTTCTATTACAAGCCAGCCAGTGATGTCAATATATGAAGTCAAAATCTTATATAAAGAAAATTCATGAGCCAATACCTCAGCTAATTTTCATACCAATAGGCGATCTATTCAATTTGTGTTTTATCATTGCTTGATCATCGTGCGATTTTAAGCCACCGTTAACCATTTCTTCACTCCGTTCGTGTTGCATATACTTTTAGAGTGTTCATGCTGCCGTAATCTCCAGTAAGTAATTGATTGATGGATTGCGCCGTAAGTTTGAGGTAACAGACCCAGATTGCCATCGGATCCAGGTAAAATATATAAAAACTTACTTAACTTACTTACGTCTATAAGCGATATTAATGCAAAACCAAATACGATTAAATAGAGTTGCGATCAAAAATTGAGGACTTCACATTTAATAGGCATCGTGAAATGGCAATGCATTAATTCAAAGTTTTCTTATTTTTCTTCGCCCTTAAAACGTATGAAAAGCATTTTTTTAGTTATACGTTTTTGTCGATATAAATAACTATTGAGGGGTCTAACCGTCAAAAAAAAAATTTTATATGACTTTGACCGATATTAAATGGTCACTTGTTTGTGTTGCCAAATAAATAAAAAATGTTTAACAAAAAAAAAAAAAAAACATAACCGTGAAATTCTGTAAGCATAAGTATAGGTGTAATGCAAAGTAAGATTTGCAATGTAAAGGCTGTCAAGGCTGTCAATCGCTGGTAGGTGCAACGATGTTAGGTCCTTATGTATACATACCTCCTCGGCGAATACTACTTAAGGATAGAATTGATTAACCCATAGAATTGATCTAACCAAGTTCTTGAAACATATTGGTTTTCTCCGTGTTATGACTCACTCGCCCCCAGATCGTAGAACATCGCTGTAGCGATTTTTCGTTCCCTAACCGCGTTGGTGTGGTAGACACGCAGTGAATGACCCTTCCCGTCTCTTTACATTTTACTACTTGCAAATTAAAAATCCTTAAAAAAGGCTTTCTTGCCCCCTAATCCTTCCTCATATGTCTATAGATAGACAACAAAAAATATTATAGCCGCGCAAGGCCGACCATTACTTACACTCCCCCACGTCGCCTAATACAATTATTGATCCATTTTCATGATCTGAATATATCAGAAATTATATTTTATTTTCATGTCATGACAAACTTTCTATGATCGTAGTCCTATGTACTTATTGACCTAACTGATTCAAATGCAGGCGGTTTTTAATTTCCTTTCATTTTTATGCCAAACTTTCTCTTATGGAATAAGTTTCATCGAAAAAGTAAAAAAAATTAAACCTTTATGTCGCATAAATGCTTAGTTCTCATGAGAACCTCTATGTAGTGCAAAGTCGAAAAACATAATTCCATGCTCCAAATTTTGCGCAATTAATTTCTATGTCGAATTAATTTTATGGATCAATTTTCACCTCAAAATATTGAAATTTAGATCATTTCACTATATGAAGGTTTAATTTTCGCACAAGCGATTATACGTAGAGAAGTGCGAAAATTGCCCCATCCGTCCCAAATCTTTCGCATTAATCTATAAGGCCGATAAGCTTTTACCAAGCAATTGTTAGCAATAAATCTTAAAAGTCATCATTTTTTTATGTAACGTTATGTTCAAACTTACGCATTGTGTGCGGAGTCATCGTAGTATTCATCGAATCCAGTGCATTTGCAATAGGGAATACACCAAATTTGGTGAAGGTAGACTGAATAAAAGAATACATGGGCGGACATCAGATGAACGACGGACAGATTGATTTACGTTTATTTAGAAAACGGCATAATACCAGGTAGGTTCATGTTGAGATCGTCTAGGTGTTACATACATCCGCACAAACTTAGTCCAGCACAGGTATTATAGAATATACATATTTACGTATATAAACAAAGTCATAAAGAAAAAACAAGCAAGTACATTATAGTCGGGCAAGGCCGACCATTCAATACGCCACACCATTTGGCTCAGTACAATTATTCACTCGTTTCGATAATAACGACACTAAAAACTACACATTACTTTCATGCCAAGTCATATATATTGATGAAATTTGGTACAGTGACGTGTTTTGATCCAAGGACGAACGCTATTGAAAACGATACGAATCTATCCACTTTTGGACTACGTCTCATATAACTGAAAAGTCGCTATTTGGAAAAAAATTTTAATTTTCACAATTTAGTAGCAGTTTTTCGGCATTCTAAATTGGAACGAAAAATTTTTGAACTCCCGCTCATATAACGAAAACAGAAGTTCATGCGACAACAAAGCATAACTTCCAATGCTTCATGATTAAAATTATATCACAATAGTAATTTAACATAACTGTACCAAATTTGAAACATCTCGGCCTATTTTTTAGATCCTACCCTAATAAGGCTTTTCACGAAAATCGATCCTTCGTAGAGGAGAAAAGTCTACGTTTTAATATGTAGTGATGAAAATTGACTCATAATAAAAATTTGATTTAAAAAATGATATAAAAAATACATCAGTTTTGGTATCTCTTTGGCACAACCATTCTAACGGAACCCCAAGACTTCATTTGCAAAGAGGTCTAATTTTTAATATACAGTCGCCTACTAGTGTGCTCGTATAAAAGCAGCATATAATTTTTGTGTTTTATGAGGAAAATGAGAAATGTGTTAGACAATGTGGTGTAGGGTATTTAATGGTCACCCTAGCCTGACTATAATGTTTTCACTTTGTTCTAAATTTCAGATCTCTTTCCTTCTTCTTCGATGCTAAAGTAACAGTTAAGCAGGCAATTTAGATTCCTTGAATTTTGAAATGAAACGACTCGAAGCATCATTTGTAACTGAAAATCTATTTCTTATAGGAGAAAAGGCAAATAGAACGATGAATGATGCTGCATGAGTGAAGCGTCTTTAAAAAGCTTAAAAGATATTCGCATGAGGATAGGATCAAAAAATTGAAAATAGCGAAAAATCGAAAATACTTCAGAGATTGAATTACATAAATAACAGTTGTTGGCTGATTACTTACAGAATCGAAATTTACCTCAATGATTAATTATGAATTAAAAATTGAGCTGAATGCGCCTTTTAATAGACCTGTAATAGTCGAAAAAGTACAAATTCAATAAGACTTTTGAAAATATTCACATCAATGCACACACATGCACACATACAGCATGTTAATGAATATTTACTAAATTTCTATGAAAATATATGTTGAAAATGATTCCAAAGTGCTTACTGACATGCCCACAAATAAATCGTAAACTTGGTACTTGTGTCATCTAAAACGTGTTTGCTGCCGTTTACCTCCAACGGATATTTCAATTGTTTGTAATTAAATGGTAAATTATGTGCATGTCATTTACATTAGATCTTTACTCAACGTTACGTAACGCAAGCTGCAAGTGAATGATGAATGATCAACAGTTTGCTTTAGTTGACTGAAATTGATAGCAATGAATAGGTGTTAAATTTAACGCTTTGAAAATATTCAATGCACTCATACATATCCAATCAATGAATTAATTGTCAAAGAAGCTTAAGTGTTTTCAAAGGTGTTCGATAATAAATTTCAATACGAACATACTCATGTATATATGTTTCGTACGTGAATAAATTAAAGTTTTCAATGCTTTTTTTTTTTTTTTTCTTCATAACCAGTAAACCGACTGTTAGTCATATGTCGTTTTGAATTTCTTTAGAATTGAAAAGAGAATATTAAATTACGTCATAATACCGAAGTCTTTTAGAAAAAAATATTCATAATAATAATGATAAATATACGGAATAACGAAATGAATAATTTTTGTACTAATTTTTAGCATAGATAAGCAATAACTTTAATCATTTGTTATATGAAAAGATTGGGGAAAAAGTTTTGAGAGATTGTTTGTTTTTTTTTTTTTTTTGCCGAAATGTATATGACATCAATTCCAACTCATGCACACTCATACCTATCTATAAAGGTCTTTGGACATAAGCTGGTATTATCGTTTTATCAAAACGTTTGCAACGCCCAGAAGGAAGCATCACCGATCCCTCAAACTACATATATTCTCGATCGGCATTAAATCCTGAATCGATTTAAGCATGTATGTCCGTCTGCCTGTATGAAGTTTGTTGTAAACCTTCTCCTGGCCGCAAAACTTAAGTTTGGCGAAAACATTGGAACTTCTTGCTGTTCTTCTTCTTGATTGCTATTGAACGATGGACTAAATTGGTCGAAGGACACGCAACATATGCACCACATACAAATTTCCACTTTTATTCTGAAAGCAAAAAAAATTGACCCCGTCTGCGTAATATTAAAGACGATATAAATTAAATTCTTTCCCATTTTTTGATTTCGGTCTGTTGAAGAATAACGGTGTGAAAGGTGCAGTCACAATCGAATATAATTTTCTTACTTGTTTGGATTTAATATTTAATATGATTACCTATGAAAACATAACCTGTATACGCTTACGTACACACGTAGAAATCAGATAAGTAGTAATATGTAAAGGCGAATACTTGATTGACATTTTCTCTCTCCCTCTTTCTCGCTCTCTCGCTCTCTTTCTTTCTTTCTTTGTCATTCATTCTCTTTCTGTCTTCTTTTTTCCCCTGACTTGCTTTCGACTGCACTCGTTTCAATGAGACATTTTTTTATTTGTAATGATTGTACGCAAAGATAACTTATCTTATCTTATCAGTAGTATGTGCTTTGAAAGTTTCAAAGAACAACAGATTTTTTACTACAAATTTTCATAGGTTTCTCCATTTATTAAATATATTTGTAATGTTAATAAACCATAACGAAACATATTGAAAATAATTTTTTGATTTTACTCATCAACTTCCCGAAAATATTAAGCAGCAAAAAACAAATATGGTATCTGTTGAAACGATCGCCTCGATATTTATCAAGGCCTTAAAAATGGTACGTTTTCAAAAAAAAAAAAAAAATAGAGATACATTTTTAAGAATTTACGCGAAAAAAGATGAAATTTATGGAATTAATTCAATTATTTAAAGAAATGAAAAGTCACTTATTTAAAATATTCAATTCAAATTACTTCCAAGTGAATCATAAAAATGTTCTATATATATATGTAAAAAAAAAAAATATATATATAAAGAATTTGGTATTGTAAAGGGATTTATATAGACAATGTAAAAGTGCCAGAAAATTTAGTAATAATATTAATAACAATAATAATAAATATTTATATAACGAGAAAATAAATTAAAACTAAAAAACAACAATTACACTATGAGGCGAAGGGAAATCAATTACACAGAATCTTTACTGATAAGTGAGATTGTTTAATGTCGAAAGTATTGCCGCCCAATGAAATGAATAATTATCCGATAATACCATGCTATACTCTATCTCAGTTTGAAAGACAAGATGCGATAATTATGAATAATAATAATAATAAAAAATAAAAAAAAAAATTTACAAAACTATTTTTCCCAGAAGAAATATTAATTCTCCATCATTCCTCGCCATTGGAGACAATTTTAATTATTTCAACAATAAAGTTTCGCTTTAAGGTTTTTTTTATTCTTCGTTTAAAGAAAACCTTCTTTTGTTTTATTAACAAAAATTACTTTGACTTTTTATTTCTCGATAATAAAATTAATTAATCAAATTACCAAAAAGAAAATTAACAATGATTATAATTGAGAAAAACAAAATAAAAAAAAAAATATATATATATATATATGTATAAATTTGGAATCTTTGCAAGTAAATTATGCACACATGTCTAATGCCTGGCACTTACATGTTCATACCAAAGTGATGCATGTTAGTATTTGCTTTTTTTAAGGAGTGGCAAATATTTTTTTTTTTTTTTTCTTGAATTCGTTAAGAATAGGAGGAAATTATAATGACTCAGTCATACTTTTATTGTTTCAAATAAAAAAATAAAAAAAGTACACACACATGTAAGCAATAGAAACGAAATCTCATTAAGCGGAGAACGTGTTTTTGTTTTTTAACAGAATAGCAATGAAATTACGAAATCTCCAACTATTCCTATACAACATAGATTTTGCATTTCATATCTGATCAAATCTTTCAGGTTTTGAATCTAATCATAATAATTCTATATCGCGTTGGCGATGGCGGTGAATTTTTAGGCATTGGTGGTACATGGAATTTAAATGAGGAGAAAAGTGCCGATTGCGAAATAGTAGCCTCCGGAGTAATGGTAGGTTTTTTCATTTATACCGGCTGTCATACTATAGCGTACTTATTTGGTACTACCAAGCACAAGAAGTAAGTACCTAAGCAATAAAAGCAAGAGGAATGAGACCGAAATAAAATTTGTTATCGATTTCAGAGAGTTAACCGATACTATTATGAATGTTGTCGGGACATTTATGTGGGTAGCTGTGGGAGGAACGGCTCTTCACTATTGGAAAGGTTATATGAAAGATAGCGATTACTTGTATGTAGCTTCAGAGAGGCAAGTTGGTCTAGCAATGGGCGCATTGTGCGTCATTGAAGGTGCCCTCTATTTACTTGATACTGTCCTAGCTTGCATACATTATTCAAAAGGCGACTCGGAGTTCATGCAATAAAAGTGTATACATATATATAAGATAGAAATTTCATTTCCGATAGAGAGAGAGAGAGAGAGAGAGAGAGAGAGAAAGAGAGAAAGAGAGAGAGTAAAAAAAAAAAAAAATGATCAATAATTACGAATAATTTTTTTGTTTATATAGATTTTAAGTCAAACTTATGCAACTGCAACAAGCCATCATTAAAAAATTCATAAAAATGTCTAATTTTTTCACTTTGGTTTATTCAAATAAAAGTTACTTCATTTTCACTATTATAAAAGATTTTTTACACACACACACACATACACACATGCATATGTATTGTTTACTTTGAAACATTTGATTGTTTTGTGTTGACTCGAGTTAATTAAACGCAACGCTGAACGTTTAATGCACATATAGTATCTAATTGAATGTCAACGTTAGTTGCTTAATTAAATGTTATCGATGTAAAAAAATAAATGCCGTTTTTTCTTCTAAGCCAAATAACTGTAGTATGTTAGCGCAATTCAATTCATCGGCTATCGAAGACAAAAAAAAAGAGAAATTTTCAATTAAGGGAAGAATGCCTGCATCGCAGATACAAATAAATTCTGTAACTTTTTCGTAGCTTAATAACTGAAATATGGATCATAATTATCTATAGACTCTTGTCACAATTTTTCACAGAACTTGCGCTCTAATCGGAAGATAAAAGATCTACAAAAAAGGATCGCCAATCGGAAGAAAAGGTCCTAAAGCCAAAGTTGAACATAACTTTTTCAGTTGCTTTTGCTGGAGATGGGCCGACGTTCGTAAATTTTAACGTTCTCAATACAAACATATTTCGCACGAAATATCACTAACAACATTTCAAATATTTCATAGCTTACAGTATTTTCACATCTATTTCGTTGCCCTTTGATGTACGCTGACCGAAAGCTTATAAACAGTTGAAACTTGTACCGTAGAGACCGTGCCAATATCTAAGCTATGAATACCCGAAATTTCGGTAAAAATCAGCCCGTCTTATACAACTTCCAGAATATAACAAGGAAGTCCCTGTATAGAAAGTAGTCAACCGTAATAACACAAATATTAATAGAGGGTGATATCGGGAATGGCCAATAAGCGATCTTAAATTATCGCAATCTGATGTTAATTTTTTGGTAAAGCACAGATTCTATTCATTCTATCCATATACGCATTGCAATGCATTTTCGTGACATTTGTCCCCAAAATGAAAATCGAAAACTTTTGATTATAATGCAGTTAGCGGCGTTCATTAGTTTTGATATTTCTTGTCTCTTCATACATGATATTGAATTTCAATTGAATAAAATGAAGAAATTTCGATTTGGGTAATATAAATGACGTTCGATAGTTCGATTCGTGCTTGAAATGTCCATTTTTTACTCCTCAAAATAATCAACGTCCAACGGAAGGCATTTAATGTCTGTTTTTAATACTCACTAGAAAGCGAAAACTTTCATCCAATGAAAGGGGTCATCCGAGAAATCATTTAAATAAAACGACACGAAAACATAAGAAATTCTGAACATGTGCAGCCCAAGCGACATACTCCTAACATCACCAAATGTTGGGCAATATTCTCACGCATGCGGAAACGCTTATATGCGATCACTTTAATATGTTGAACCACAAAAACAAAAAAAAAAAAAAAACAAGAGAAAATTTCGAAAATAATCGAGAAAAAACTCTTCAATCAGACTATGCGCAGAGAAATCAATTAAGTTAAACTAAAAATTATTATTTGAGAAACGGAAGATTATCGGGTAGGAAGATTTTATTATTCGCTATGAAACGAGTACGAGTAGAAGTTAGCAGTGTTGCCATGTGTTGCGAATATAGAATTTATGCATAGAAACCTTGAAAAATCTCAACTCGAAACAATTACAAAATGTTTTCCTATAATTTGCATTGTTTTTTTTTATTCACTCACCTGTTTATTTTGCCTAGCATCAACAACATCTATACCTCCCGTTTCTCTTGGATTATTGGTTTGATAAGCACCTCTTTTACGTTTACCGAGCGAACCGTCCGCCAAATCCAAAACATCGATAATATTACTATCTAATATGAAAGAGCTACGCGACAAAGAATTGAGTATTTCGAGTTTACGCGAATCTAAACTATCACGATAAACATTGCGCGGCTTATCCAAATTATGTTCATAGTCCGTATCCAAATGAAAACTATGACGCGAGGCACTATGACGTTCGGCCAGTGCACGTGAGGAGCTGTTGTGTGATGAAATACGCTGCCGACGCCGTATCACCGTCTGGGGGGCAACAAACACACTCGATGTCGTGCTACACACTGGGGTAACGGCAACATTTAATAGTGTAGAGGATGTGTCCTCAGTTATCACATTACAATCAGCCAGCTGCGGCATTTGCATATCCTGATTAGGTTCCATTAAACTAATCTGCGATAATTGTCGTTCCAAGTGCTTTTCGTAGCCATTAAATTTATCATAATCGATAAACGACATATTCTCATAGCTGACCATATTATCAATCGCCTGCAATGATTGCAATGAAGCACTCCATTTGGGATTAAGTTTTTCTTTTTTTTTCTCACCAGTTAGCCCGGCAAAGGTACTTTTAAATGAGGAAATGAATGTATTGGATCGTAGTCGCTTAAAATTTTGATGGGGATCAAACGAAATCGAATTTGGACTTTTCAAGATAGGCGTTGATGTCGCACTTTGTTGGGAATTTTTGGGAATTTCTATGGGCGGTGAGACAATAACGGCAGAAATCGACGTTTCCTCCGCTTTTGAATCTGTCGATTCCATTGAATTTTTTCTAGGTGAAGCAGGCAATGTGAGATCGCTCAACTTCTCGACCTCTTCCGATAACTGTTCCAGTTGTGGCTCAACCAGGCTTCTACGACTTGTTCGCTTCGGCAAAATCAATGATCGGCTGCGCGTAAATTGAAAAGGTAGTTCGTGTTCTTTCTCATTTGCATTTAGACTCTCTTTACTATTCGTTATCGAGCTAATAAGCTTCGACAGTCTACCCTTTATTGAAAAACTGCTCGATCTCTCAAATTTTGGAGCATTAGCGCACTCCGGTACAGCACTTGTTGCTGCCAATTTGTTATATTGCTTTTGTTGCTGCTGTTGCTTTTCTGTTGCTGTTGCCCATAATATTCACGTAATTTTTGAGTGATGTTGATGTTATTGTTGTCGTTGATGATATGATTACCGGTGCAGTTGTTATTATTTATAGTAATGTTGTTGCTGCCATTAATGCAATTATTGCTGGTGTTTGTCACATTTCGCGTATGCTTACCCGCAACAGCTGTCGCCGAACTCTTCGAATTTTTCGTAACATTTTCATTCTGATCTTTGAACAATTTTTGCTGCAACTGTTGTTGTTGCTGTTGCTGTTGCTGTTTTTTATTAATTTGCCTTTGTTTCTTATTTTGATTTTTATTTGCCATTTTAGTTTCTTTGACTACATTCATTGTTTAAAACTTCACATTGAATCTGCAAATAGAAAGGGAATGAAAAAACATTTTTTCAACATTACTTGAAAATCTTTTTTTTTTCTTTTTTTAGTATACTTGTTCCGCTTTTTAGATGGAAATGTGAAAACCAAAACACAAAAAACTGCTTATCCTCTCATTGGAAGCACCGAATATTTATCGTTACTTTTTTAATTTACTTCGTAATTCCTTGGTTACAAAAACTTGTGAATTATTAAAAACATATTTCACATCGAAGAAGCGCCAAGACAAAAAAAAATTAAAAAAAAAAAACAATAAAGAAAAAATTTATTTAAAAAATCAAAAAATTTCTAATCGAAATATTCAAATATCATGAACGACTGCAAGATCTGAAATCTATTACTGATGATATCCTCAAAAATTATTATCGTAATTGCAAAACTTATTTTGTTATCGGATATCTGTTGGTTTCGATTTTCTTTTTACACCCATCAGCATGACGAGCATAATCATTTTGTTGTTCTTTGTTGTTTACAACGCCCGAAAGGAAACTTCGGAACCACCACCAAGTGCATAATACATTCATTATCAGCATCAAATTCTGAATCGATTTAACGCATGTCCGTCTCTCTGTCTATGCAGTGATGTTACATAGAGATACGCATCAGAGATATCATATGCAGTGATATGCTGAGTTTAAGCACATGGTTGACTGGCAAAAGGTTCAAACTCATCACATGGACCTTTCAATTAATTTCACAGGTAAATCTTGAAAGTATCGAAAAGAAAATTACTCCGAAGAGACACAAAAAATTATCGATACATATTCACAATCGCTTGATAATATATTACATATCGATTTAAATTTTTCATCAAAATCGAGCCGCCGTGAAACTAGTCGTTACGCTTTAAGTCAACAAAACATCCTTGCATGCTGACGGCGATCAAGGCAATTGCGGATTTTTCTTTAAATAAAAATCATTTAATTTTTAATCCATTTAAACATACCGTCTATCACCGACGGATATGTTCATTTTGTCAAAACGATCTCAACGCCCAGAAGGAAGCATCAAAGACATTGCAAAAGACATTATATATTCTTGATCAGCATCAATTTCTCAATAATTCGATTTAAGGCTGCCCGCCTGTCCGCCTCGCCGTCCGTCCGTCTAGATAATGTCTATTGTAAACATTCTCCTGGTCGCAAAAAGAACGTTATCGACTTCAAATTTGGCAGAAACATTGGGAATTCTTGCACGCACGTTGACATTGAAAATGAGCCAAATTGGTCGAAGGACACGCCTACAGTGCTACATTAACTGAGAATACCAGAAATTGGTATTTCGATCATTAATGCAAAACTACTGCAGATAAATGCACAAAAATTTGAACGTATTTCCTGTGGATGATGCTGCAATTCACGCACAAAAATGCATAAATTTAATGCTCATAGTGCGTCATAATTTCGAAAACTTTACAATGCACAGAAGCGGGCTTCAAAACCTTCATAAAGTATATAAATTTGAAATGTACCTGAGCATAACCGTCTCTTCGTCTGTTCATATGTCTCTCTGCACAAATATGTCGTATCTGCCGGAAAATGAAGATATCGCCTAAAAATTGGCAAAAGAATTTGTATAGACCTAAGCTATTCTGAGGACACGCCCACACGCCTATGCGCTATGCAAGGAAAACTTTTATTTTGAAAATAAAAAAAAATCAGCTGCGCCCACTCCATCTTATAAAGCATGAAAATATAGTTCTTTTCCTGCTTTTGTCTTTTTTAGAGTAACGGTGATGGGTACAAAAGATTCAGTCACAAACGAATATAAATTTCTTACTTGCTCCAGTCACTTCTTTAGCTAACATTTTTACATTTGTCGATATGACGATAAATAGTCGCTGCAAATTTTGCCTGTGATTTGATTTTCTCTCAGAATACATATAAACTTATGTTTCAATGCAGCTATTTTATATATAATATTGTGGATAAAATTTAAGGGAAAATATTTTATATAAACTTCGCGGGTAATGCTTTTTTTTTATTTGTTTTTTTTTTCGAATTGATAATCTTCTATCTTTAGTACCTATGTAGAGTTTTCTACAGAGTCACGCATGTTTTTCAATTTTTACTATGTTTTCGAGACAATGATTGCTGGCTACCCGAACATCGTGAAGTCTATAATTACACAAGATGGTAGTTGGAACTATTTGTATGACCCGTGAACAACCAATCAACTGAAAGTTGAAAGTCAGATGCGAAAAAATCACGTTAAAATTGCTCAAGCATCAAAAAGATGTTGACGGCTTTCTTCGACTGTCGTAGTTATGCATTTTTTGAGTGTTATAAAGGCGATTAGATTATTCGTTTTTTTTTTTTTTTTTTTTGATTCCTAACTTCATGATATGGAATAAAAAAATTAACATACTTTTGTTTCATGATGGCAAAGATAGAAAAACCGATCAAGCCACACAAGGAATATGGAAACAGTAAGTAGATGTTAAAGGCAAAATGATTGCTGGCTCTCTAATCGATTTGAGATTTTTTCTCCCAGAGAATGCAGCTTTTTAACGAAGTTATTCATATGTATGCGAATATAACACATTTAAAAATAAAGCCTTTGTTTAATTTCTTTAAAAAAAAAAAAAAAAAAAAAAAAAAATTCTAAAGTCTTTTTATTATTATTAGCACTTTTACTGAACATATATAAACACATACATATATACACCTTTGAATTACTTCGCAATTTTGCAACTTTTTCTTTGTTTTCAATTTGTCTTAGGGTAATTGACGTCTAATGTTATTATTAAAATATTGGCAAAAAAACTTATATTATCTTCCTTGTACAGTTAACCACGTACTCACTCGGGAATAAAAGGCAATATAAAAATTTTATCAGTTTTTTCATACTAGAAATTGATAACAGAAATGAGGCAAAAATAACAAACTGCACCGTTAATAATTAATCGTGCGCGCGCGCGTGTGTGTGTATGTCTATATCTGCATATGTGAATGTGTGTGCATGTGTGTGTGTGATGCCTCGTTGATTATTAAATAGGTAGTAAATTATATCTTCAACATATTAAGTTGCCAATACAAACGTACATATATATATATATATATATATATATATATGTATAAATGATAATAATAATAAACAAATAAAGTTCAACTAAATAATAAATGAAAAGTAAACGTGAATGGGCCACATACCCACGAGAGCGTGAGAGATTTTTACAAATGCATTCATTCGTTTTCTAAACAAATTATTTGTTATTTTAAAGCAGCAACAAATGCTCGCCTTGGCGGGAACCTGAATAATTGGATATCTATAATTTAAATAAACGCAAAAAATTCCATTACAAGTTAAATATTGCTCTGCTAAATGTTATTAGACATATTTGTAAAATTTTTAAATTGAAACTACTTTATAATAACATTCATATCGCGAACGACTCGATAGATGTCGACAAGTTTCCAATCTTTCGAATCTTTTCAATTTGTTTCGCTATTTAGCCGAAAGGAATATCTTGTACAACCGTGAAATTCAGATTCGAAATCATTTGTTCTTTGGCAAACGAAAAAAATACAAGTTCTAGCGTGAAATATTGCAATGGTTGTGTAAATTTCAAATAAAAACCGAGAATGAATGTAAAGAGTTATGCATTTCTTCATGTTTTTAGGAAAAAGTATTGAGAGATTTTGTAACAATTTTTTTTCTTTTTTTTTTTTATTCACTTTTTGCAATTTAATCGGATGTAGACTTGAGTAGACTTGATTTCCATAGGCATCTTTTCAAGTCAGCTTTAAATCTTTGAAAAACGCTCTAGAGAGATTGCAACAATAGTGATCGGGGATGAGATAAAAATTCTTCTTCAAACTTCTCAGCCAAGCTCTTTCAATTTTTGTCGTGTCATTAGAAGTGTGTGCGATCTGACGTTGTTATGATGAAAGGCAACACCTTTTCTATTAATCAATTCTGTCCGGGTTTTTGAATTGTTTACTACAATCTGATCTAGGCCTGGCAGTCGAAAGTAAGATCAATCGTTTGCACAGTCTTCATAACTTTTTTCAATCGTATCAAACACACAGATGAGCGTTAACGAAAGTAATGTCCAGAATGGGAACGATCGTCTACATATTATTGCAGTTGATAAGGCATTTCCCAAATATATTCCCGTCCTTCAGATATCTATGTTCTCATGTTTAATTTATCGGCCGCTAATTTTAATATATTTTTGTGATCTTATAATTTATTAGGTTTTCATATGTACGGTTCAATCTCAAATGCTAACGTCAATGGATTGGATCGGATGACTTTTAGAATCGTGTCCTTATCTGAAACTTATTTTTTTATTTTAAAAAGTCATTACATCATAAAAATTCCCGATAAGAATCCATCAAATATATCATTTTATTGCAAACAATGGATATGAAAAGTTTAGATAGAGATGGAACCATTGATCGAAACCTTCTTCTATATTATATATTAACTTTCTACCAGTTAATCAGTCTTTGATTTATAATTTTTAGTCTTTTCTTATGAAAATTGGTTTTAAGTTGTTATTTAACATGTATAAAATTGTTATATAATACAAATAGTCGGTCTCTTGACCATATAAAATGAGCCTTTATGTGATAATAAGTGATAATATTTAATATTGCAGGAGGAAACTAGGGGAAGGCTAATAAGTTCTTTGACAAAAAGATCAACTTTATTATATAGGTATCACGTTGGTACACATTTCGGATTCCCTGCCATATAAGGCCTCTAATGAAGACTAATCTCTAACGGAAGGCTAATAAGTTCTTTGGCAAAAATATCAGGTTTATTAAACAGGTGTCACATTGGCTCACGTTTTGGATTCCATGCCATATAAGGGGTCTAATGAAGACTAATCTCTTGACAATGAAATACAATTTCTAATATTTTATGAGGAAACTAGGTGAAGGTTAATAAGTCGTTTGATAAAAAGATCAATATTATTACACATATCTCGCATGGCAATCAAATACA